CTCTTCCGCCGCCGTGGTGTTGGCGAACTCAATGTCGCCAACGGCTTTCGCCAAGATCTCCATGACTTCGGCGTCCCGGCTATTGACTCGGTTCCAGCCTTCACGGCGGGCCCGGGAGAAGTCGTCTCTGGAGACGGCGTCGGCGACATTCGCCTTGGAGGGCACCCGCTCGAACTCGACGAACCAGCCCTGGCGAGCGGCGAGCGTCCAGAAGGCAGAGATCATGCCGTTGACCGCCGCGTCCTTGCCGTAGCCCTTCGTCAGCGCCGCCTGACCCGCCGTGTTATCGATGAACGCCACGATGGTCGGCGGCATCAGCTTGGCGAAGGCGGCGAAGGCGATGATCTGGGCGAACACCTCGAGCATATAGATGTAAGCCCGGCGTGCGGCGAACATCTTGACAAACCACGGCGGCACAACTCCATGGTCGTAGAAGACCCTGTCGCCGATACGCAGAACGTATCCCCAGCCGTTTGCGGCGCGCTGGTGCGGCGATGGGTTCAAGCCGTCCGGCACATGTCCGGCTTTGTGCCGTCGCTCGCCGTCAGTGAAGAAAGCGTCGGCGTAGAGCACGGCCATGTCCAACCTGGCGGCGTCAAATGGTATGAACCTGGGTCGCGTCGTCGGCAATATGTTCACCAAGGTTTTGAGCGCCGCCAGGCCCGGCGAGAGGGCGTCGTTAGACCAGGCTGCCGTGTCGGCCGCCCTGGCGTAGATGGCTTTGGTCGCCGCCCGTGCCACGGCGCCGAAGACCGCCTGTGTTAAGAAGGCCACTCTCCCCGCCAGGCGCGATGCGTCGTCTGGTGTGAGGCTGTCGTCGTGAAGTGCCCGGCGGAGCTGTGCCAGGATCTTCTCCACCCGCCGCGGCGTGGGGCCAAAGTGCGGCGACCCACTGTATAGTCGAGGTCGGCGGTGCTGTGGGTATCGCCACCGTCGTTGGGAGCGACGCCGCGGCGTGGACCAACACCGCCAAAAGCAAGCGGCGAGCGACTCCCCAGTGCCAGCCGTTCCCCAGCAGGCGGTGGCGTGTCCTAGGCTCCAGCTCGCCCTGCGCCGTCATCGCCGTGAAGTTCTTCGGCATGTGGTGGAGCTGTTCTTTGGCGCACGGCGTTAAAACCGCCGGCTTCCCCTGATCATCGGCGAGCATGGCGTCACGCTGGTAATGCCACGGCGCAAATTGGCGGCTGTCCTGGAGCCACCTCTGCTGGACCTCCGTCGTGACCTTGCCCCGCCTGGATCTCGGCGGTGGTCTCCCCCTCTCATCGGCTGCCGGCGTGGTAGAGCACGGCAGTCGAATGCGTCCAGAGGCCACGGCGTCGGAGAACTTGAGGCCGTCGAGATCGAAGCTGTCCGGTGCTGTCCTCGGCGAGTCTAGTCGGAGGCGGTCCCAACGGCGATGTAGCACCCAAGTCCAGCGCTCCGAAGAAATTAAAGCCGGGGCCGCCCAATCCATCCAAAGTCGGCGGCATCGGCGAACACCGGTTGGCAGCCGAGCTGTTTGGATGCCTCCGCGGCGTCGGCCGGCGTCATCTCGACATTCTCCACCAGGAAGCCGAATCGTCGTGGCGCCAGCCGACGGCGAAGCTCGTCCAGGAACTCCGCCGTGAAGTTGAAAAGGTATCCGCGGTTTCCGGCGTGCCCGTCACGATCACCGACCCGTGAGAAGTCCTGGCAGGGCGGCGCCGCGGCGAAGATGATAATGCACTCGGCCTGGCCGTCGATGTGCTGGATCTCGGCGGCCAGGTCCTCCGGCGTGTACTCCGTGAGGTCGCCGCGGTGTCTGATCCCTGGTGTGTGGTAGTCGGCGACCTGAATCGCCGCGCGGTCCACCTCTCATGAGAAGATGGGCTCGCCGATGAGATCCCACACCAACCACGGCGCAGCGCCAACGCCATCGAAGGCCGAAAGCACAATGACCTCGGCGCCGGGCGGAACTCGAGCTGACAGTCGAATCTTCTTCGGCGTCCGGTCGGGTACCTCGGCGTGAGCGGTGCTCCCTTCCGAGGCCCCGTGCTGTCCCTAGCGGCGGCCTCCGCCCTTGCCGGCGCCCGGGCGCCTCCACGGCCTGTCTCCGCCGTCGGTGTTCTGGTGCCTCTGCTCGGCGCCGGCGTGGCCCCACCATGTCTGCTGTTGGTTCTGCTGCTTCCCGCCGCCTCTCGTCGACCACCAGCCCTGGTCCTGCTGGTTGGCGGCGTCCGTCTTCTTCGCAGGGTCCTGGTCCTTGCCGTCGCGGCCCTTGCCCTTAGGCTTGCCCGGTCGACGGCGTTTTCGGCCATTGCCGCCCCCCCAGGCGCCACGGTCGTCGTAGTCCTCAGTGGCTGTGTTGGGGTCCGCGGTGGCAAAGCCGGCGGTCGCCTGGGCGGCGCGGCGTTGGCGATGATGATCTCCTGCCAGGTCGCCACGTCGTTCATCACACCCTTCACCGCCTCGCCGAAAGAGGTGCTGTTTCGGAGCGCCATGGCGATGGTCCACGCCGACTTGTGCCAGAAGGCCTGGATCGCCGGAACCATGTCGGCGTGCGCCCTGGCCTTGGCCACAAACCAGTCGGCGTATTTGCTCACGTCGGCCTCCTCGCCGATCCCCAGGAGAATCCAGGCCCACCTGGCGGCGTTGGCGCCGTCGATCGTCGAGAGGAGGCCCCGCGGCGACCACTCAGAGGGCCCCGCGGGCACCAGGGCGCCGTGCTCCAGCCGCAGAGCCTTAGATCCGGCGGATTTCGCCGCCCGGTCACCGGCCAGGGGGTTAAGCATCCTGCCGGGCGTCCAAGTTCGGCGACATAGGACTTCGCCGAGGGTGACCGGCGTATACATCTTGGTCACGGTGTGTTCGAACCACATCCGCGCCAACACCTCCTCAGTGCCAAGGAGCTCCTGGACAGGGAAGGTGCGGCGTTTCCCGTCGAACAGCTTCTCCTCGTACGCCGTCACCTGTTGAGTCCAGGCGGCGAAGGTCTTGGGCGGTCGATCCGGGATGTGTGCCGCCGTCGCCGCTCCAGTCGGCGTGTGTCCGGCTGCCGGCGCCGCGGCTGTCGTCGCCTGGGGCTGTGGGGCGGTCGGCGCCTGAGAGAAGATGTCCCATTGGCGGCGAGCTTCAACAAACAAGTGAATCATGATCGCCGTCGCCACCGGCTCGTCGCCCGCCTCCGCCTTGTGGTCTCGACCGTCGATGTTCACTCCGGCGAG